AAAAATATGTGGTGCTGAGGGAGAGAAGAAAATTTAATGCCATTTCAGAAATATGAGAAATTTAGTTCTAACTCCGATCCAGAATTCATCGAGGATTTTTGTGGAAACTCAAGTTTTAAGTTTGAATCACTAGATAGTTTTACAAATTCCTTTTGCACTTTACATAACAGGTAATTAATCTCATTAATATCAATTAATATAATGTCTTTAAAAGTCTAATCTCATTAAATGTCAATCAATGTAATTCTTTAAAAGTCTCATGAATGCAATTTCTTTAGAATCGAATTGGAATTTTTGCGACCCCTTGTGGGGTTGTGGTAGTTTAGAAACACTGCTCTATAGAATGTGTATCTTTTTCAATTGTCACGTTATCCTCAAAAGTAAATTGTCTGGAATGTTCTTGTGTATTTTGATTAAGAAAATCGTGCTCATCACTGTAATGAAAAGACGAAGAGAATGCTTATTATATTTTATCAATATCAGGAAAGAATAGATTTTCATACAGAATGAAATCCATCGCAATTTGTCGTAGAGAAAATTTTATATCGAATGGTTCTAACTGGAGAGCGGATATAGTATATTCATATCACAATACCTTCAATTAAAATTTTACTCAACAGTCGTTTTCATTGCTGTGTCTTTAGAAGTTCTTTGTTACCCTATGACCTCTAGGTTATAAAATCAGCTTAATATTTGGGAGAGGGGGGGGAAGAAATTAAATTTTTACGGATAAAAATTTTTTTCCAATCTTTCGAAGATGGGCTGTCGAAAATGACCTCCAAAGAGATATATATATATATATGCAAGTTAAAAATTATGTAAATGAGCTTTATAATTTAGTAACTGCCTCTTTATTCCTCAATTTTAATTGGGTATTTCCTCTCTGTATTCTAATACTAGTAATAAATTTTCTGAATTACGCCATTTCTAGATTAATCTATGTCACATGGCTTGCGTAACACTGATGACGTAGTTAATTCAGAACTTTGAACTGAATTTTTTCTAACCTAAACCAAAACCTTCTCCCGGTGAGCTTCCATGTGGGATTAATTACGCACTTTTGCTTCTAACGCTGTGCCACTTGGACGGTATTTCATTCTGCTCTCTTTCTGTTGCAACAGTATAAAAAATGTAAGGATTCTGGAAATAGGCACGATTAGAGTGCCAAGTGAATTGTGGCCACAATTGTCATTACTGAAATAAAAATGAATATTTAATCTTAGTCGGCTGCCAAGTTTCCTAGTCATTACGGATGAAGCATTTTAGCATTCTACGCAATCGGAATTCTTCCTCTTCAGTGTAGATCTACGTTCTAGGCTATCTACGCGCTGCATCGTCAGATATTTCGGCGTTTGTAAGTCTCAGTGTTCTTTTCTATGACTTTTAATTGCTCTGGGATTAAGCGTCATTTGGAGATAACCGTGGACGTTATTACCCAAGTAAATTGGAGTTTATTCAGGAAGGATATACTTTATTCAGACTAAAGTATAGGCTGAAAGTCTAAAGTCTAGAGCTAAAGACTAAACTCTAGAGCATTTTTATATCAGTATGTTTTTAATATTTATGTAATACAAAGAAGCGGAAATATTTCTGTTTTACTGAAAAGCAACTGAGCATAATTACATTTAAATTAACTTTCTTCAGGAAAATCTTCAGGAAAAACAAGTTATCCGTTTTTTAGGAAAAAGGCTCAGGCTTGCAAAGAGATCGACATAATGTGTTTTTTGGCATTGACATGATGGTATTGTTGTACACCGTTATATCGGGAGAACAATTACATAAGATTTATGGAAGATCTGTCGGGATTTTATTAGGACCGTTTAATCGGCTGGTTTAAGATTTAAATTAATATGAATCGACTGATAATACTGTGATTAAAAAATATTGGGAATCATTTAAACTTCACATGCACAGCAAATCTCTTGAAACATTTTTTTTTTCAGACATTGTTACGATATTCATCGACATCTGGCAATAATGCATGTTTCATTTTTGTCCCTTTACTGGTTAATAATCCTTTGAAAATTAACTCTTTTTTAATGAATGAAGAATTTTCGTTTCGGTGATTTTGCAAAATGACGAATATAATTGAGCAAAGGACATGCATTAAATTTTATTTTCATAATGAAATTTTTTTTTATAGAATCATCTGAAATATCGCAGAAAGTTGCTGAGGAGAACACTTTATCAAAGATAAAATTTTTATGTAGTATGAGATGGTTAAAGAAGGCAGAAAATGCATCGAAATGAGGTACACAACAATCTGCATTAATGAGTAACATATCAATCTGCTATGAGATTAGTTGTTTAGTAATCGTCGTCTAAAAATTAGGGTTTCATTTATCATGTTCCTATATTTTTGAATCCTGACCAATTTCGAAAAGACATTGGGCATGCAGCGCGTTGGTTGCTTCTCGAGTTGTTCCTAAAACGTGGAATTTTTTCCAAAAAAAGGCAACGATATGCAAGAGGCCCAGAGAGGTTTCCGAAACCGAGTTCTTCTTATAACTCATAATTACCGGTGATTTTCGCTTTTGATGCAGGAACAGCTGAATAATCAAATGACTGGCGCTCAAAAGGGAAGCAAGACTGAAATGACTACGTTAAACTCCGTCAAAATTCAGGTAATGTTGACTGATTTCTTCCATTTCCGTGTTGCAGATTATGAATTTCTACCAACTGGCCAAACATTAACAAAGAATTATTACATGAGTGTTTTGAGACATTTGCATGACATGGCACGGTTTCATGTTTTATGTCTACGGTCAGATGCTTTTTAATCACAATTTTGAGTATGATAAAAGAAAATTCGTCATAAATCTCCTTTTATACAGAAGGCGAGTTTCAAATATGTGTCCAGGATTGAAAGAAACATTGTCACAAGTACTCTGCAATCGGAGGGGATTACTTTAATGAAAGTGTAATAAATATTGACCAACAAGTTGAAGTTTCCTATTTTATGATACTACATTCCTGATACTTTTTGGGCTTCACCAGTGGCCGAATAGTTGAGATCGCTGAATACTGGGGGCTCGATTCCAAGCGAGCAGGCTGGCTGCGTGGTGCCTTTTCTGGTTTTACCATGTACACTGTTGGCCATTAAAATGGCTATGCCATGAAGACGGCGTTCAACAAACGTCAAATGTGCGTGAGAGGTACTACATGCTGGGATATGCAAATGATTAGCATTCCAGCACATACTCACAAAGTAGGTATAATTAACTCCATATACACTGTGTATAAATTTTGGAAGATTGTAGAGCAGGCTTCTCATTTGTAAATCGCATTTGAATGTTGGTTGTTTGTGTAAAGGTCATGCTATGCTTTGTGTAAGATAGAGAAGCTCGTACGAGCACTTGTCGGAATTTGACCATCGCAGGAACTGCGATTTATCATTTCGCGACACTGCAGCTCATGTTGGTCGGAATCACATGACTGTCAGGTGACTTAATTCTGTCAGAAGGGCTATATGACTCACATGCTGTCAGAAGGGCTATACTGAATGCCATGCAAGATCTTAGCGGCTACTAACGCTTTGGAAGATAAACATGTTGTCTTTTCGGCCTTGGTAGATCATAGCCACGTCACTACCATGAATCAGGAGCTTGGCTTGTATTCGCGACGATTTATATAGCACCACGGACTGTTAACACGACAATCATTGTTGCGACTTTCTTTGAATGACGAACTTTGAATGGGTGCGATGAACGACTACACTAGACAGAGGAATGCCACCACGTTGTCTTTTAGATAAATCTCGGCTCAGCTTATAGCATCATGATGGATGTATTCGTATGTAAGGGCAATGAGAAGAACGAGCGCAGCCAGCTTCTATTAGTCATAATCATACCACAGGGCCACCGCCAGAGCCGTTGCTGCCCGTGTGACCGCACCAGGCGGCCGAATTTAGGGAGCGGCAAAATTTTAGAATTTACAGAAGCAGTGGGCAGCAGAATTCAGGAAATGTAACGTTGCACCGAGCCTTGCCATACGGCCCAGTACTTAGCGTACTGCTATGGGGTGCCATTAATTGTAAATCCTGGTTATTTCTTGTTCGTATAGCCGGCAATGAGTACACATGCCGTTACATTTATGACGTGTTAAGACCCATTGCCCTGTTCTTCCTCGATACAGAGGATGTTTAACTGCTGCCCTGGCTAGCACGTTTCCAGATCTCTCACCCATTGGGAACATCTGGTTATGGATTACCGAGAGATTGGCACGTCACTATTCGCCAGCCATACGATTGATAAACTCTGGCGTAGAAGTGATGGTGGCTGGAATGAAATATCCATATCTGGTCGTCCAAGCTTCAGTTCGATTCAATACCCAGCCAGATTACAGCTGTTTTTGCTGTCAGAGGTGGCAGTTCTGTGTACTGAATTCTGCATGATGTGTTCCCCAATTAAGGCAATAAATAAGATTCTGATATTTGCTTTCCTTTCTGGTGTAGCAATTTTAATGGGCAGCAGGCTATAACGGGAATAAGAGCCAGTTTCCCTTAAAATTTCTCATTGAAGGCATCTTTCTACCTAGGCAAATAGCCGCCGTGTATTTTGCCATGATCAAATATCCTAATCTGATATTTTTTTATTACTTTGGTATTGTATATATGTATTTTCATATTTACTAATTATCCAGATTCCAGATAATTTATTTTCTAGCACACATGTAATAAAAATATAAATATATATTTTTGCACGTTAATTTTCCGTTAGTATTATACCTCTCAGCTGGATTGCATGATTAAATATTATTTTAATTACAAGAAAGTCTCTTTTATCTCAATAGTATTAGTATTTTCGTAAATAACGTTTATTTATAGCTTAGTGGCTAGGAGTCTGTGATATGTACTTTGCTTACGTATTAATTGTTTTATTCCTGCACCTCAGTGTAATGAAGAATTCTGAGAAAAACAACAATTAACTAATGGTGATCAGGTAACTTAAATAACTCGAATTAGAGACTGGTTTCGGAAATAAGTATTTCTGAGACGCACATGCTAAAATTTTGTATGCTTTAATAGTAAACTTTTATCACAGATATTGTAAAACAGACATTATTAGAAACTTACAAAGCACAATCCATATAATAACATGCATTTAAAACTACTGGCATTTAATGTTTTCCAGGACTAGACTATACAGTACATAATATAAATAAATGACTTCAATAAAATTCAAAAGTTACGTTAAAATTATAAACAAGTAAACAATATTCAGGAACAACTAGCAAAAGAGGAAATTTCAGTATTTTGTAAATTTTCTCTAGATATCCCAATATTTGAACGAATCCTTCGAAGAGAAAATAATACTGAATTTTGTTTTCAGGCATCCATAGTTCACAATTTTATTGTGTTTAATCTTCATGTTCAGTTCTTACAGGATTCTCTGAACTGATATTTTTCATGTTTCCTTTCTTGTTTACAAAAGTATCATAGCACGGCGGAAAACGTGAAGAACTTATATAAGTCTGTTTAACTGAAATTCCTTCAACAATCTCCTTTCCCAAGTTTGCCTGTAAATAGTTGTTTTTTTAATTGCCATATATAGACTGACTCGTGGCCGAGTGCTTCCAAAAGACCAAAAGTTCGCTTATATCTCTTCCCGTTGGTCGAAAGGATTAGCTGCATCAGCATGAATTTTACCATGCTATTTTCGGCAACTTTGGTAATTCTCGGGTACAGTTACCACACACAGAAAACCGCGAGAAACTTTCCTGTAGGAAAGTCGAAAATAAGGCCTGAGATACCTCACGGGTAACATAAATTGGCGCCATTTCCTGTTTGCTAACCTATCTTTGGACATATTCCTCTTAGGCACAGAGTTCTGGCATGCGTTCTCCTAAAGGAATAATCCAATCCATCCTAAGGGCTTCTTAGCAGAACTTTGTTTGGGGCAATTAATTAGTTACTTAAAACGTTTAAAAAATATTTTGTTAACTTTAGTTGCCTGAATTAATATCATAGATTGCCTAAATATAGGCGTGTGGAAATAAAAATTTATAAAATATTAAGAACGTGCAGGAAGACTAGTTTTACGAATTTTTGAAAAATATGGAAAAGTAACCATGCTGATATCAATGAATTATAAATTGATACCTCTTTAAAAATAGGCCAAATTTGATAGGATAATTCGATAAAAGCGTCTGTCTCTCACTACACCGAAGGTATGGAATAAGTCCAGAAGTATTCTTTTCTCTTAAAAATAATAGCAATCTATCTTATTTTGAATATGCACACATGTATTTATTCTCCTTTCTCGTAAGCAGACTTCCAGATATCTGCTAGGCACACAGATGAATGGAACCTGTAGAAAAGCATTAGGGGTAAAGTGGTGTGACTGACAAACAACCATAAGAATTCTCCAAAATAAGCATTCTGCCCATAATGCGATTCCACGCTTTTTGCCTCGAAAGTGTTTATTATCCAAATGGTGAGGTTACACACAATGAGAAAAGTCACGATTTCTCGTCCTGGTTTCTTATACCTAAGTAACCGACTGTTACTGCATCTTCGAAGTCCATCAATTATCAGTGGTGTCTGTAAAATGACTTGTAAAGGAACCAGGATGGATATCACTATCCTAATGGCGCTTCGTTTTTGGTATTCTGACATAATAGTCAACAGTGCTTGTACGAAATAAAATGGTAAAGGTATAAATAGAAGAACATCATCTAAGAAGGTAATAGGATGATGATTAAAGTCCAGCTTAGATAATTGCCTGTAAGCAAATAATACGCAAGCTAAAGAGAGGAAGGTAAGCGTCCCTTCTTGAAAATAGTGGATTGTTAATCCCACATTGTAATAGCCTTTGCTGCTCATAGCAACAAAAAACACTATTATGGAGATAATTGAGGCCATCAGGAGGAAGAGTCCAGCAAATAATCCTTTATTAGCAGCATGGCAGTCCGCACTTATCACTAGATTACTTTGGTATGTTACTTCTTCTATACCATCATTTTTGTGAACTTTGTGATGAAAATGGTGTGGATTTGCTCTGTGGTGTTCTCTGCCTATGTTGTGCCACACTATAAACCACACTCCAGCTAATAGTAAATTGAATTCTATGGTGAAAGGGTAAAGGTAAGGTATGGCTTGTACGTTGTTCACTGATAAAATAGCGTTTGAAGCACAAGCACACCGAGTTTCATTCATCGTATTTTGACAAAGAGCTTGATCTGAAATAAAAAAAAAGCATATGTTAGTGTTAATTTATTATTTATCAAATGCTTGATGTTATAAATTGCCATAACATTTAATTTTACCTGAAGTTCGGAAAAGTGTTTCATTCTTTATTTCGTGCTCTATTCTGGCGAATTTGTGATGGTAATCTTCTAAGGCATCTTCAACAATGGTTCCAAACCAAAAGCACAAGCAAGTTGCCATTATGTGCATGAGTGCAAATCGGGCCACCTCTTTATAGCGGTATATAATAATCTAAAGAGTAAGAAATGTAAATTAATTTCTCTTTTTAAAGTCATAGTCTGTATACCTTTAGATATAATAAACATTAGACATCAACTTCCGTGTTCGTAAACAGAAACTTCCGTTTCATGGCGTAGAACAATGACAGCCATAATTCTGCTTCTAATGACCGGATCCACGAAGTAAAAGTAGTTTTGAGAAGCTTAATATAAAAGCTTTAAAATAAAGTAATAAAAACATTTTTGAAAAATTTCATCCAAATTGACAATTAGAACGTACATGGATATCTTAAGATCTATAAAACAAGCTACATACTATAAGTTCATGTTTGTACGCTCGAACGCGTATACATATATACGTGTTCAAGTTCAAAATATTGTTTCAAATATCTATATTTAAGATATTAAAGAAGAATTTTATTAATATGATTTCAAAACGCGAGTTTGCATTCAGGAATACTATCGAGGCTGATAGTATCGATCGATTCTTTTCAGTCATCTATCAATAATTCATGTATGCTCAAATCTATCAAAACATAATTTTGCATCTCAAATTAGCTGTTTTAAAGAAATATGCTTTAGTGGGCAAATTACGTTCTATCAGATTCTTTAATTTAATTATTTCGCCGTTTACACATATTGTATTGAATAACAAACGCATGTTGATTTCTTAATCAGGAAAACGAGTGTAATTTATTTCTCAGGTTTGTTATTAATACAAAACAGAATCAATAAGAAAATTAAATCATTTGTCTCGGAAGAATTTTGAAGAGGTCAAAAGAAGGAAGTAAGAATTGAACTGAATTTTTATAAAACATCGAATTAATCCATAAATGAAGATGTATGGTGTTATATAAGGTATTTTCTCTCTCCTTCCAGCATGCCTTCGGGGTGCAACGGGAGCACACTCGGCGCGTATTCGAGAGGTGCAAGTTCTAATTCCGACGAGGGCATTGCAAATTTTTCCTGTCTCCTGCTTCAAAATAGCCTAATGATTCTACAGTGGCGGCTGAACTAAAAGGTGGTGGACGATAATTCGTCACAGAAAGCAAACAGAAAGTTTCAAATGAAAACATATATTCAAATACAACATATACAACAGAATCAAATCCCGGCGAGAGCATTGTACATTTTTTATGTCTCTTGCTTCAAAATAACCTAATGATTCTACAGCGTTTTCATGAAGGCTTTTGTTGAACATGGAAAAACAAGAAAATTGGTAGTTTTCTCCACTAACTAAATACTTTCATTTGATGAAATGGTGATTGTATACTGAGGTGCCAAAAGTCATATATAACAGTATGCAAGTTTACAAATGGTAATCTAATCGCGCTAGAAAAGTGTAAAGAATCAGATCGTTATTAACGCTCTTGAAAATCTTACGAAACGTTTAAAGACATTAATGACTATCCGAGGAGAATGAACCAGTTTAACCGCCGAATTATAGTTGCAGCTCAAAGCATGGAGCAAAGAAGTACTTCCGAAGTTGTTGATAGCTTTAAGATTCTTTTCCACATTGCCAAAGGTATCCTAAAAATACCTTACAGTAGGCATTACCTCCTATAAAGGACAGCACATTGGTAGACCAACTCTGAGTGATCGAGACTTGCAATGTCTGAGCAGAAGTGTCCCTGCTAACAGATGAACTACATTGCGTTAAATAAGTACCCACCAGGATATGTCTGTGACTCGAAATTTAGCCACAGCGTCTTACCAGGTTCACTAATGCGTATTGCATTGTATTCTAAAAAGATCTTAATAGAAAATACCGCACAAAAGGTAGCTTGGTCCAATAAATAATTTTGGATAGGAACTGATAATCAGTTTCGAAAGTGGCTCAAAGTTCATGAAACTATAGATCCAACTTATCAGCAAGGTGTTGTGCAAGATGATAGTGGTCCCATAATGATGTTGGGCATATTTGCCTGGTTTATTTATGGCTGACTGTCAAATTAAACCAGTTCTTATTTTAAATCCCTACGATCATCTGTTTGATGACCATTTGCAGCCCCTTATTATAGACTTCACTTACCCCAATAATGATGGAATGTTGCAGAATCGTCATGTGCTATATCACAGAATCCAGATCGATAGAGAATGGTTTGAGAAGCAAGCTGAAAATTTCCAACTCCTGAATCGGCTACCTTTATCTCCAAACACGAAACCCATGGACCTTATTTAAGAGTATGATCAACAAAGTCATTCGTGAACAAGATTCAGTACCTACCACAGCCACACAAATCATGAGCGGCTATCATGACAACATGATTGATCATCTTTCCTGGAGATTCCTGCAGATTTGATTCCACGTCACATCGAGTTACTGCACTTCATCGAGCTAAAGATAGGCAACATACTATATTACAGAGTTATAAGGTATTTTCTCAGTCCTTTCCGCATGCCTTCGGGGTGTAATTGGAAGCATACTCGACGCGTATTCGGGAGGTCCGGAGCTCGAGTCTCGGCGAAGGCTTACTTTTGGTATGTCATTGTGTCGCGTTATATGTAGTTCTAGCTACATCTACTGGATTCGTCCACCAATATGGTACTCTTTCATAATCGCCTTTATATTGTTAAGAATATTTCTCAAGAAGAAATTAAAGGCTCTTTAACATAGATTTATAAAAATGTTTCTGAAGTTCGAAATGAATTACAAAGAATATACTCACGTTAGAGTACTTGAAGACAATGAACAACTGGTAGAATGAGTACAGGGGTTTGATTGTATGAGTTACAACCGAAGATATATCTCCACAACCCAGCATATATCTATCTTCCTCAACATAATTGATGATCTGTTGTCCCAGTTGCAACCCCTCATTGATAAGATGACCAAAGCAGAATGCTAAAAAATAAAAAGTGGTTATATTTCATGTGCAGAATTCGCATTAAGAACTGAATGTATTGCAAATTAATCGTAAAAACAGATTGCTGAGTTATAATCTAGTACTTTATTCTTTTATGTAAGAATCTGCCATTAAAATATGGATAAAAGTGTCAAATTTATTTTATGTAAATGATAGCGACTCTGATGTTTGAGAAAAATGAAAAAGAAATTTAACAAACTTGCATTTTTGATTGCGATATAGTCGAGGAATCGGTGTATTTTCTTCGATAACTTGTGGCAACGAATTTCTCTTCAAATCCAATTTTGAAGAATTACTTACGATTTACGATTAACTTGCAATACATTCAGTTCTTAAACTGAAATAGCTATCGATAATAAAAGCTATTTTAGTTTTAAAAACCTGCGGGTTCATTTTTCTATTTCTTTTTATGAAAATTGCAACATTATGAAGGATTCATCAGAATTGAATGAAATTTAAGTCAACACACGACCTAAACGATAAGAAGAAACTATAAAATTTACAGAACATTAAAATAATATTAAATTCTAAAAATCAATATTTGATGAAGTCGCTATCCGTTGCAATAAGAGCTTATGCTCATCGTTGTATTAAATGAAACAAGTTGTTAAATGTGCAGGTTGAGGAGTAGCATTTCAATATTGCTTCTATCCGAATCCAAAATTAATCCGTATTTAGTTGCGGAACGAGTGTTTTGAGCTAAATACCTGCCATCGAAATCTGAGATATGTTCAATAGAGGACATGTCTGGTGAATGGATATGCCAAAGAAGAAGCGATACTTCCCATACTGAGAAAAAATCTTGAACATGTCTACGTATATATCAACAGGTATTGTTCTGTTGAAAAGTATTTTCAAGAATGAGCTGAATGAAGGATAGGACATCCAGCCTCACTACCTCATTTATGTAACGGATTTTGGTGAGAATAAGTTCACTTCTTAGCAGATAAAATTTCCAATGGTGCTTTAGACTATCATGCTTGGCATTAGTCAGTATGATGTTGGATAATGCATCCCAGAAGTTGGTGTTCATTCTTCTAAAGACTAACGAGTATTGAATCATCGTTGTACTCCAGACTGGGACCAGATTCATCGTAAAAGATGATTTATTGCTAATCGACACAACAGCGGCTGTGGTGGTGAGCCCATTGTAGCTGCACGAGTCGATGGTTTCGCGTCGGGGAAATTTTGCGCAAAGGAATGCACGGAGCAGCAGGTACTATTCACACCTGTAGCATTTGTCTAGCCTTGTGCCAACCCTTGAGATGAAGCTAGACGGTCCATCACTGTTATGCGGACGAGATGTTTGTCATACCATGCTGGCGTCACATTTCGGGGGTCTAGTGCCAGATTTCCGACTTGTGAGGTTCTTTTACCACATACGCAACATTGGCAAGGCATTATGCTTCGTATGAAATGTGATTTCCCTGAAACAATAATCCTCCTTCTCAGAGGTCCGATCTTTCGATCTTCATTCAAGCGGCGTAACTTGTTGATGTTGTGCCTTTTGTCATCGATGAGGCCTAGTGTCTTCTCATGAAAGGCGGATAAAGCTAGGTTACCTATGACAGCTAATGAAACACCTTACTTTCAGTGTGCTTCTATAGATCTTTATTTACTTTAAGATCCTACTATTTATAAGGATTAGGCTTTTCTGTTTTGTGGAATTCATATTTTCACTAACCAAAGGGTATTTAATTTACATGAGTGGCAGACAGTTTCATTATAAAGCTGGAAGAACTACGTATAGCTGGGTATGTTTGGTCTTTGGTAAGTTTTGGTCTTTTTGCTGACACTATATTGCTGTGATAAACTTCCTCCCCTCTTAGTGACTCCAACGGTGGTTTCCAGTCAAACAAAATATCTCAGGGACAGATTTAGTTCGATATGTATGAATCTTTGCTATGACAGGTCGTGGTCTTAGGTGAAAATTGCAAACTTTGTTAGATAAATTTATAACACTTTATAATAGTTTAAGGGAAGCTTGTTTTTCAGCTAGCTTTGGGTGAATGGTAATTTTGTGTTGTATAATTTTAATGTAACCCTCATAAATGTGAGGTGGAATATATTCGAACATATTTATTCTATCTCACCTATTTATTTAAGTACCGTAATTTCCGGAAGAAAGGCCGCATCAGCGTAAGCGCCGCACTCGAGAAAAATGGCGGGAAAAAAATTAAAATCACACAGAAACGCCGCATCAGCGTAAACGCCGCAATAGATTAAATTGCGCGTGACATCGTCGTGGGCCGTATAGATGCAAAAACTCAACCTAAGTCCTGATATATGACATACCAGTTAAGAAAAATGCATGAAATGAAACCATAACTCAAAAATAAATTAAAGGTAAGAAATGTATAGCTTCTGTGCCGTTTAGAAATTTTCAAAAATTTTCCGCTCTCTAATTAAAAACTATCCAACAAGTACTTGTACCCTAACTGATGGGATCTGTATTTGGCAGAATGCTAAGAAAAATCCATTCATGTTGAAGGGGAAATACGTCCGAGTTCGTTATTGCGAGGCAGGTGGAGTCGTGTCCGCCTTTGAAAAAAATTGCAGAAAAGGCAGGGGTGGAAAGAGGATGGGTCCTGGAAGATTCATCGAATGGCAGAGGAGAGAGAGACTATTCAAACTGATGAGAATGTTGATTTGAAAGGGGGAAGAATGTTATTGTTCTGAGATCTCGTTTAGGGTGAATAAGGCATGTAGGTCCGTTCAAGGGAAAGAACGTAAACAAAATAAAGTTCGCAAAAAGCAACTGAGTGGTCTTTTGTGTGGGAACAGCACCAATGTATGCACAATGACAAGGCCATCCAAACTATGTACAATGACCATCATAGGAAATATTTTATTTTTAGTGCACCTAAACGCCGCATGGGTAGAAACGCCGCACCCGCTGAAAATTTAAGTTTTAAACACGTAAACGCCGCGGCGTTTCTTCCGGAAATTACGGTAAATGTATTTCTGTATCTGTTTAAAAACTCTAGCGGTGAAATTCATCCACAGAATCTACGTATCATCTTAAATATTTTGTACAGTCAAAAGTCGTTAATCCGGACTCCTCGGGACTTCGGCGATTCCGGATTATCGATTTTTCCGGATTATAGATCATCAGTTTAAATCTGGTTAGATGGCATGCAGAAATTACAAAATTAAAAATATGAAACCGTAATTTATGAAATAAAGAACAATTATGATCTAAAGGGTATCAAAATTTACAAAAAGAAAAAACTTAATATTTATTTGTTTACTTTATTAAACATTTCCTTCAATGTAAGTTGCTTCGTTTCATGTGATAATACTTTCTCTTTAATTCTATTAAACAGACATAATTTCTTGTTTAGTTACAAAGTTCCGCTGTTCAAGTCCTATAATTGCTGTGTGGAGAATACCGACTAATTTGTCAATCGAAATGTTTTCGTTTTCAATAACCTCTGGGTCACTTTCTTCACTATCGGAAGCGAATTATAATGACGAGGAACTTGATTTAAATTATATCAAAGACGGAGTACATCGAGATGAAATACTACACTTAGTACGGAATTATAAACCAAATAAAATAAAAACATCTGCCCTGAAGATAAGGATAGTGCTGACAGATTAACTTCCAATCCGCCGCGTGAAATTGATAAACAGATTTCGGATTTCAAAACATACTTTCGCTTTGTAGATACAAATTACATATTAGTAAATATATATCGGAAATTCTATTTGACATAATCTTTCTAATCTATCATAATCTAATAATGACGTTTCTGCCCCCCCCCTCTGCCGCAGAGCAGCGTGAAATTGATAAACAGATTTCGGATTTCAAAACATACTTTCGCTTTGTAGTAAATATATATTGGAAATTCTATTTGACGTAATCGAAAGTTCAAGCTTACTTTTATAAAATTGCTCTAACAGTCTGCAAAAAATAATAAGCCGGATCCAATTCGAAGATTAAGGAACAACGCAATCTGCAACATTAACTGAATTAGATAACTTTAGCTTAGCGTATAACTCCGTTACACATTAAACGCGCATGCGCACAAACATATTCGCAGCCGTAAGGGTCTTACGCGCTCTCGTAAACGCCTGTGCGCATGCGTGAACGCGACGCATGCGCAGAAAGTTTGTAGCCTTTGAGGTCCGGATTATAGATCATTCCGGATTATGGGTGTCCGAATTAACGACTTTTGACTGTATATGACCTACTAGTTTGTAAGCGAGTAGGACTTTGCTGAACCCAAAATTGGTGTTACAGTTTCATTTACAAGAACTTTGTGGTAGCGGGTTTCTTTCCAAGGCATTTAAAATCACTAAATGAGTTAGCAAGAAGTTACACAGAGTTTGGTATTTATTTTGCAAATTAATGAAATGAATGAACAAGGTACCTGCAAGGCCAACTTTCAAGTAGAAGCTTCCACTGTGTCTTCCAGTTAGAAATCTGTACGGAGGTATTTCATTTCCCAAAAATGTGATTGCCAAATTAAAATCTGTACAAGTGCTGATTTTATCAATCTGCTCTGCTGTTCCCATCATTCTCTTCAGAACTTTCCTTTTGTAGCGAAACAAATCCAGGTGGAAGATTATTAACCACATCATTCCAATAAGAGATATGCAGACACTGAACATCTACAATCGCGAATATAAATGATAAGTGACATTTTAAAAAGCAATATCTTATTACGTCATACATTTTAATGAAACAGAGCTTCATTTCATAATGTTTTTAAGTACATTCGAACTTCGATTAATCGAAGCTGACGGGAGCTTAGGTTAGGTTAGGTTAACTAATTACAGCGAAGCGATCTAGCTATTATTATTTACCTAACGAAGGGAATACTCCCATGAAGGACTTTCTGAGTGAAACTTGCTGGTACTCATGTTACCCATGAACAAACCCCGAAAACACTTATATAGTCAGTCTGTTTTCTGGGACACGATCTCTAGTCGAACTACCAGTGGTTTTTTTTTTTTCTGCCACTGGTAGATTTGAAGTGAGTAATGGAAGGAAAATTTGAGTAAATTGAATGCATTGTTCTCAGAAAAGATGTAAATTTCACGTAGATATATATACGTACAGGTGCATTAACCCCTTAGAAAAAAATGGGAAATTGTTGTGTACGTATTTGATTAATCTTGTAGCTTGAAAAACTGAATAAAATCTTAAGGCTCTGACGGAGAATTAGGCAAAGTATAAGCCAGCTTAAAAGTGAATAAGAATAAAATGGTTATTTTGCATTTAATATTTGCTTATGTACGAAGCAAGGATATTAGAATAAATGCAATAAGCCTGACGTGACGTCAGCAGGAATATCAGCAACGTGACGTCATGACTTAACATGGCCGCCATACAGTGTACGGGTAAAACTAGGAAATATATCGCTAAATAAAATTACACTGACTTTGAGAGCAAATATCAACGTTCGCAGGCTCCGAAAAGTGTGTTTAGGCCTAATTTGTGTAAAATACTGTTGAAACTTACATTGATCCTCCAGGTTTTAGCATTTGTGGTATAGTTACCATTTATACATTTTCATGTACCTAGATATTATCAAATTTGAAATAGTTGTTTGAAATCATTGTGCTTTTTCTATAAACTCAGGAAAGAATCTTTTATGTTAAGTATTAAAATTAGAACATGAGTCTTAACGTTCAATTATGAATAGCTAACATTTAGACAATACTGATTAGAATGTAAACAAAATCGACCAGAAGTCTGCTTATGGCAAGGACCATGATAAGTCATGACGTCATACCGTGAAGTTTTGTGGCTTCATTTTCATTGCACTCGACATACGGGGAAGGCTAACCTCTCTGCACGAATCATGATCGTAAACAGCATAATAAAGCCAATGTTTGAAACATGCTACCCGAGAAATCTTTAAAGAGATAAATATATTAACTATTTTAGAAAATAAAATAAAAATACAGAATTTTAAAGAGCTGAGTTTTCATTATTCCAAATAAAAATATAGACTTATTAGATAGGTTTTTTTGTTAAGGCATTTTCCCTATTTATATTCAAATATTTTACAATAATACTAAGTTAAAGTATATTTTTAGTTTTACGAAATAGTTACTATTGCTGTAGAATGCAGAATTTGGAGCTAGTTCCCAGGAAACAGAGGAAAATAAGCATATATCAGCTGCTAAAAATACCGGAAAGAACTGTATGCATGCTGCGAATGAACTACAGAGTGGTGAACAAACTGTTTCACATCTCCCTGTGGATGAAAAGTCTGAAAGGACTGAATCTTCAGACTGTGATATGCAAAACATATATATATCTGAGAACTGCAGTGTAAAAGTATTTGACCCGGGTATATTTTAATGAAAAGACTGAGACTGAATTTCATTATGAACTTTAATTTGTATAATTTAAAATTGCCCATGCGTTTAATTTGTGTGTATGATTTGTACATACTGTAAATATCTGTTTCTTTAGTTATGTTATTTATTTATACCTTATGTTTGTTTCATTACGTTTTGTTTGTATCGAATTATGCTTCTGACCAAGGGTTGTACTCATGGAGGTAGGAAAGGGAGGAGGGGCCATTCCGCGTAGAAGTGAAGCACTGCTCTCACGGCTTCGGTCTCCAGATGGGGTGTTCTTTTGTTTACATCCAGAAGCTCGCCTTGACAGCGCTTCTGATAGTGCTTTCGACATACGACAGTTCCATACAAATCGAAAAACGGGACACGGACACTCTCCGCATGAAAAGAAACATTCATTGTGTGATGGATGATAGCAAAGTTGTATAGTTTAGTGACATTTACGCAAAAATTCCGTCTTGGTTATTTTTCGATAACTAAACAACAGCGATTTTGATTATGAATTTGTTTTATAAAATTCTAAGCTGTTGCACTACAAAAATATAGATTTAAGAAAATTGCTCTTAAAAGAGATCTGCCAAAATTTATTTTCTAGAAGATTTGAAAATTTGAACTTGATGGCTAAATGTAAATATAAAATTATGTATGTTAAAAATATTTGTAATTAGGCCATAGGTCAGATTAAGTTTTTATTAAATAGAGTAACGCATGCAAGGGCTATCTGCCTAAAGAGAGAGATGCCATCGTGGAGGAATTTGAAGAAAAACTGACCTTTGAGTGGGTATTAAAAATAATATACTTATAATTTTCATTCAAATTATATTCATATATATTTTTTATGTAAAACTTTCGGGTGTACGCTAAATTAGTGTAAATTACTTTACACGAAAAATATAGTGAATGCACAGAAATTAAAGATTTGCACATGCCGTACGTAATGATAATATAGGAAATATGTATGGGTATTTATGCATGTGCTTGCAAAAAGCATGTATCTGCCTTTGACAAAATACTTAAATATTCATTAAATGATTTATAAATGTATTTGAAATGAAGAATTTATTCACTTATAAACAACTGTGAAAGTACTGTGAAGAAATCTAATGATTAAATGTATCTAATTTATAATGATTATAAATGTTATCTAAATATATAATACCTTAATATTGAATTGTAAACATAAATTGAAATCCTGTTGACAAATACGTTATAAAACTATTTAAGCAAGAATTGTTTGTATTGGAAAGCAACTGTTAAAAAGGATGTAAAGCAAATGCTATGATGCGAACTTAAGAAGTAATAAAGAGTTTTGGAATATGTTTGTTGAAATGAAGGGTAAAAAAAAAAAAAAAAATCTGATAAGTATAATTAAAAGAATTATTCCCTTTACATTTTATAATAACTCAGTTACAAGTTTTAAATAATAAAAAAAAAAAAAAAAAAAAAAAAAAAAAAAAAAAAAAAACTCATTTATTCCTTTCAGAATGTTCAGAGAAAGTCAAATACTATTTATACCTATTTAATTATTAGGAATAGCGAAATACTTCTTTAAAGTATTTCGCTAATTCCTAATAATCTCTAATGTTAAATGAACCGAATAGAGCATTAATTATAAATTGACTTACATTTTTCGATTTAAAAGAAGCCAAAAAATCATGTCATATTTAAGAAGTATTTAGGAAGAAGCTCTATAAATAGAAAAGAAATAATGCATAATTTAATATTAATAATCAATAAACTTTGATCTTAATTTTGTACCTTAACCGAATAAAATCGAATTACCTTAATTTTTTTTTCTAATGTAATTAACGAAAACTTGTGAAAATATTTCTTTCAAATTAAACCATTCTGAGAAACTGTCCTGTGAAAAGTATAGCATTTAATTCCGTTCAGAATGAAATGTTGTTTAAAAAATATGTTGTTTTCACGTATTAGGACTCTGAAGTGTTGTAGAAAAAGAAAATATACATTATATGTATATTTGCGACGTAATTACAAAATATTTACACCGAACGCGTCAAATCCCATAGAACTCAATGGTAAATGACCCAATGTTTTGGTCACCACGTAGGGATCGCCGGTGCTTCAGACCAGGGTACGGAGAAACTTGTTTAGGGCGACTCCTTCTTACTTCCTACCTCCCATGGTTGTACTGCCCGGGACGTGCAGTCCTTGGGAGGGGGCACTGTTACGAAATGTACAGGCGCGGTAAAAATTAAAGTGAATAAGTATAAAATGGTTACTTTGCATTTAGTATTTGCTTATGTACGAAGCAAGGATGTTAGAATAAATGCAACCCTAAAACTGCTTAGCTTCCCGCAAAGCAGTTTTAGGGTTACCATAAAATGGCAAGAGAAGGCAAAGTTGCCACATTTGGCAAAGTTGCCACATACTGTTACGAAATGTACAGACGCGGTAAGATAGCTTCTCCGCAAAGCAGTTTTAGGGTTGCCACATTTGGTGAGAAATCGAACATTTGGCGATAATTGGCGATATACCATGGATGATTGGAGAACCTTCTGGAACGAATTCTTATCGGTTTAGCCCAGAATGTTCTCGAACACCAGTCAAAAGTTATATAAACCCTGCTGGTACGCGGAGAGTTAGTATAGAGAGTGTGTGTCAGAGGGTGTGCCTCGTCTAGCGAGCCGTGCGGAGTCGATCTAGTTGACAGCCGGGCAACGAGTACTGAGTGGGTCGTCGAGTGCACCGAAGGAGTCTCTTAGTGTATCGCGGTTAGTGCATCGTCGAGAGAGCGTGTTGAGCTCCCGGAACGGCTGAACCGAAGAGTCGGGAGCTGTGTCGTGTGTCGTCGAGTGCATCGCGAGTTGTAGTGGGGAGAGTCTCGAGAGTACGTGGAGTTCCGAGAACGACCGAACAGAGTCGGGAGCAGTAGTCTAGTGCTTTGCCGTGAAGCTGTCTCCACCGTGATAGTCTGATAACCTGAAGGCTGTGTCGCTGATCGTGTCAGCGTGTTTATAGTAGCTCATCGACGACTGTAAAACGTATTTTGGAGTTGTCTTGACAATACTGGTAAATAAAGTGTGTTTCGATACTTCATCAAGTGTCATCGTTATTCACTCCAAGTCTACGAACACCGTACGAACGTGAAGGAAGGATATAACGTAACAACTGGTGTCAGAGAAGAAAAAAATGCAACAATGTTTTGACTCCATTCATTGAGTGAGGTCTTAGTTTCCTTTTCCAGCTCATTTTTTCACGGACTCAACACCACTGACAGATATGAGTCAGTAGCGTAGCAGGACGAAGAATAGCATGAAGAGTGAGAGGGTTAT